ATGACAGAAATTCAAACACACATGCTAATAATATGAACTACACAGGGTACAGGCAAAGTGAAGTCCTTTTGAAAACCTTTGATTATGCCTCTCTGAAAGTGATTTATTTCAGTTATACAGTATTATGATCATAGAGTTGGAAGGGACCTATAGGATGATTAAGTCCACCCCCCTGCTCAGTGTAGGAAACCAAATCAAAGAAGATCTGACAGAAGATTGTCCAATTTTCTCTTGAATGCCTCCAGTGTTGGAGTGCTTACCATCTCCTGAGGTAATTGGTTCCATTGTTGTACTGCTTTAATGGTTAGGAAGGTTTTTCTGATATTCAAACAAAATTCAGCTTCCTGTAATTTCCCATTATTATGTGTCCTGCACTCTGGTGTTATCAGGAATAGAGGCGAACCTAAATTTTGCGGCCAGAGAAGTCTGTAACTCGAAAAGTCTGTAAGTGGAGCCGTCTGTAAGTCGAGGGTCCACTGTACTGGATAGTTAAACTTTGATTTGATCAACCCTGGTAATTGCTGAGCTATAGCAAGGGAGACCAGAAAAAGAAAACTTGGTGGGCCCTCCAATTGGCTGTCTGTGTTACAAGAAATACAATATTTGGCTGTCAATGTATTGTAGAAGCATACCATACAGAGTTATAAGAATCCACTATTTATTTATTTTTTAAAAATCATGGAGGATGGGTGAAGTGCCAGATGACTGCTGAAGAGCTAATGGTATAGCTATCTTCAAAAAGGGCAAAAAAGAGGAATCTGGGCATTACAGACCAGTCACCCTGACATTTCCCAGGGAAAGTTCTGGAGCAAATTATAATGTGGTCACTCTGCAAGCACCTTGAAAACAATGTGACCAACGTGCATTGCCAAACTAATCTTACCTCATTTTTTAAATCCCTGGTAGATGGTGGGAATGCTGTAGATGTAATATATCTTGACTTCAACAAAGTCTTTGATAAAGTGTCCCATGATATTCTGATTAGCACACTAACTATGGGCTGGATACAACAGTAGGTTACAGAACCATACTCAGAGAGTGCTTATTGATGGCTGCTTCTCAAACTAGGAGGTAACAAGTGAAGTACCACAAGATTCAGTCCTAGACCAGGTGCTCTTCAACATTTTAATTAATGACTTGGATGAAGGGGTACAGGGAGTACTTATCAAATTTGAAGATGACAAAAAATTGGGAGGAATAGCTAAGAAGACAGCAGCAATATTCAAAAATATCTTGATGGGCTTGAGCACTGGACTAAAAGCAACAGGATAACATTTAACAGGGATAGGAACAAGTTCTACACCTAAGGAAATAAGCCAAATGCACAGATAAAATATGGGGGATACTTGGCTCAATAATACTACAAGCAAGAAGGATATTAGAATTGTAGATCACAAGCTGAATATGAACCAGCAGTGTGATGTGGCTGCAAAAAACAGCAAATGCAGTTTTAGGCTGCATTAAAAGAAGTACTGTACAAAGAAGCAGCCTCTTCGCTGACCAACGGTTAGTAATTTAAATTCCCCGCCTTTTCCCCCACCTTTTTTCTGATCCTAACTCAAAGCTCTGGTCGCAAGTCGAAGCAAAATTTTGCAGCCAGAGCTGGTCATAACTCAAATTGGTCATAAGTTGGGATGTTCGTAAGTTGAGGCACCACTGTAGTCTCCATATCCCATGAAGTACTAGTCCACCTCTATTTGGCACTGATTCAGCCTCATCTTGAGTACTGTGTCCAGTTCTGAACACCGCACTTTAAGAAGGATGCCAGCAAACTGGAGCAAGTTCAGAGGAGGGCAACAAGGATGATCAGGGACTACAGTGGACCCTCGACTTACAGACGGCTCCACTTAAAGACTTTTCGAGTTACAGACTTCTCTGGCTGCAAAATTTAGGTTCGACTTGCAGCCGGAGAATTGACCTACAGACCAGAAAAAAACCAAAATGGAACAAAAACGGAACAAAAATGGCCGGTTATGGATTAATCGGTTTTCAATGCATTGTAGGTCAATGGAGCCTCGACCTACAGACTTTTCGACCTGCAGCCACCATTCCAGTACAGATTAATTTCACAAGTCGAGGGTCCACTGTACTGTAAACTAGATACTGCTGGGAAACTAGCAAGCAGAATCCGACAGTCCTCCTCTGTTGTTTGCCCCAACCATTTGATTAAGAGGTGTACCAAAAATGGTGCTCACACTTTTAGCTTCTTTTATTTGTCATAGTGCAAAAAAGCATTGTTGGCGTTAAGAGTCAATAGCTTATGCATTGGTGTCTCCCACGTAAATCAGCTTGTGATACATTTAATTGTTTATATTATGAGTACTGTTAGTTTGATAGTTAGAAATGTCTATTGTTTAGAGAGATGAAAGAAATGAATTCCCAGAGGAGACTCTAAATACATCTGGATTGTTTCATAAAATGTATTGCACCCATTCTGGATATGTCCATTGTCCATCTTTATCTCAAATGCCACACCTGTGTCTCATTCTCTAGGGCTACAACAGGAAAATGTTGGTGCTGTGTGTGGATAGTATATGAAGTGAGCTATGAGAAATGGTCCTTTAATATTTTCTGGGCTATGAAGTGTTCTCAGGGCTGAGAATCTATGGCTAAATCTAACATCAGTCCTATTAGAATAGATCCATTTGAAATGAATGTGACCTTCTAGTCATACCTAATTAAAGTACCATTGATTTAAAAAGATCTACTGTAACAACAACAACAATGTACCGTCAAGTCAATTCTAACTTATTACAACCCTTTTCAGGGGTTTCCAAGTAATTAATACTCAGAAGCAGTTTACCATTCCCTTCTTCTGGGGGCACCTTGGGAGTACGCAGCTTGTCCACACCCACACAGGCTGGCTCTACTTGCAGGAAGCCCAGTGGGGAATCAAACTCCCAACCTCTGTCTCAGTGGCCAGAGGCTGGGAGTTGTCAAGCCAGCTAGATCTACTATAGACAGGGCTAATATACACCGCCTCAGCTCATTGCATTATTTGTGTGACCTCCAGTGTTGCCTGCTCACTAATGGGAATCAGCTGTTTAAGGTTTCAAACAGAAGTGGACATTTAAGGGCATTTAACCACTGGAAACTGGTCACTCTGGTTTTGCAGGAGTGGTGAAGCCACTCCAGAATTTATAGGAACTATCAAAGCTGCTAAGTCTTATTCCCAAAAGAGTGTCAGCATCATAAGAACATAAGGAGAGCCCTGCTGGATCAGGCCAATGCCCCGTCTAGTCCAGCTTCCTGTATCTCACAGGGGCCCCACCAGATGACTCTAGTTGAAGACAACTAGATACCTGTCTCCTGATACCCCTCCCCTGCATCTGGCATTTGGAGGTACCTTCCTTTTAAGCCTGAAGATTATATGTCCCCATCATGGCTTGTAACCTGCAACGGACTTTTCTTCCAGGAATCTGTCCATTCCCCTTTAAAAGGCATCTAGGCCAGATGCCATCACCACATTTTGTGGCTAGGAGTTTTACAGACTAACAACACGCTAGGGAAAGATTTTCTTTTGTCTTTTTCTCACTCTCCAGAGAACCCTTTCAACATTAACGTATCATCCAGAGGACCCCAGCCCATTGCCATTACAGACTAACAACATGCTGGGGAAAGATTTCCTTTTGTCTTTTTCTCACTCTCAGAGAACCCTTTCAACATTAACTTATCATCCAGAGGACCCCAGCCCATTGCCAATGATTCTGGGGCATGGTTGATTAAACTATGAGGTCAACCAGAATATACACAGAAGCCTTCCTGCAGCTACATGGGTAGGATGGGCAACCTGCCCTTTCCCAACGAAAGCAACAGTTTCTTGGACTCAGTCTCTCTGTTGTGAGGGACCATTTCCCAGAATAGGCAAGTCCACCCCTTTTCTTTCTGTTGGCTACCCCTTCATCAATTTCCCTCATACTCCTCACATAACCTGCACTGAGAAAGGGACAGGCCCCCCTTGCAGAAGTCTCACCATTTGCAAAGGGCTTTAGAAAGTAGTCCAAGGACTGCATGAGATCAGGCCAAGAGACATATATTGCCTAAGCCTGTTGTAGGGAAAGACTGATACTAGCGGGCATATCCCCCTTCAGGGAAGTTGATTTTTCTTCTCACTGAAGGGTTCCAGGAAATATCTCTTGAAGAGCCTCATGGCGCAGTGGTTAAAACACTGTACTGCAGCTAAAACTGTGCTCACGAGGCATATCCCCCTTCAGGGAAGTTGATTTCTCTTCTCACTGAAGGGTTCCAGGAAAGATCTCTTGAAGTCCACTCATCAGTGGGCATTGCTGCAGGCAATTTAGGACCAGACAGTGTTAACAATTGCATAGATCACCCAACTGCAAGAGGTCCAATGCTCCTCACCTCTGTAATGAGAACTAGATTGAATTTGGAAAAGTTTCTTTCAGACTGCAACTCCTCGACTCCCCTAGCTAGTGTGGCCATTGTATGGTTTTTAAAAATTATTTTTAAAGGAATAGTTCTAGAATTGGTGGACTGGGCCCTCCCCTGTTGTCTTTATAAGTTACACATGGGCCAGATGTAAATGAACCAGACATTTGTTTGCATTATATTTGCATCATTACCTAATTGACAGTTTTTACTGTATAAAAGGACAAATATTTTTACAATCTGAAAACAGACCTAGCTGCAAATACTTAAAAGGCACTCGGTAAGCTCCAAATGTCACTATCGGAGTCCTGAAATGGGCCAATTAAAACCTTTATTACTGCTTTGTTCAGCCACAAAAACGATTTATCAGCTGGAAACTATTTTAATATTTTAAATTACACAGCCATAACTTGGAAATTGCACTAAGCTTAAGAGAAAGTTACATGTGGAACAGCATGAATATTATTAGAAATCAGACCCTAGAAAAAGGCATATATATTTAAGTTTTTCTTCAGCAAAATATTACTTCTACATTCCTTTCCTCAAATAACTTCCTAAAAAATACAGCAGGATGCAAACATTTCTTCAGGAACTTGTCAAGGGAGAAACACAAAAATCATAAAAGAGATGCCTTGGCTCATCAGAGGAAAAAACACTCTGAAAGTCTACCATAGAGCAATACCTTTACTTAATATAAGAACCATCATATCCCATAAAGCACTGGTGACCCTTTTCAGTATTTTCCAGGTAGAGAATACTCATAAGTGGTTTACCATTCCCTTCTATTTTTGAGTCCTAATAAATGGCCTTGCTCTACCTCAGATTATCAGAAAATGGCCAATGCAGTGCTCTTTATTCCCTGCTAAGTAAATATAAAGCAGAGCTGGTGCACATGTGTGTATACACTCTCTGATTTCTGGCCTTCACATGCTGCTGGCCCTGTAAAACTCAGAAGGTAGCCAAATACACATATGCAGGAAGAGATGTTTAAAGTAATGGTTGTAATGCTGAAATATTAGGAAAGAGTGCAGTGTTGTGATGGTACCACATGAAAAGGAAAGTTGGTCCCTTGAGTACTATCCCATGGAGAATTGTGACATGCCAAGCTATGTGTGTCTTAGTCTTCCTCCGCCTGGCACCCTTCAGATATAGTACACTACTATTCATGTTGGAGTTAGCTGAATATGTTGGAATCTAACACATCTGGAGGAAACCAGGTTGTGGCAGACTGATTTTGTGTTTTCCTATATGAAAATGAAGTCACATTTAGATTTAAAGGTATACCCTTCTTGGGGTGGGGGGAGACCTCATTAAAAAAACAGACCTACAGATCTAAGCTTTTTAAAACTTCTTTTTCATTTATTGTCATACAGGCTCAAAGCTGTGATCACCATGCAGTTACAGCATAAGGGGAATGATCTTGCTGAAAGTTTCTGACTTCAAGAGATCATAATACAACATTCCAGTGACTGGCCCTTTACTTTTGAGAGAACAAAACAAACAGCAGATAGACAAAAATGACGTTTTCACATACGGTGTATGACCACGTCTCTCTTCCCTCGCACACACTCTCTTTTTTCACTTTCCCCCCTGCTTTTCTCTTTGTAGTTGATCAGTAAACTAAGTCCATATGTATGAACCTAAAACATAGATTTTTTTTCCCTTTGGGAATTTAGAGAGGTCATTGCCTGAATTAGGAATCTGCAAATTCCCATGTACAGTAATGAGTGCACTTCAGAACTGATTGATGTTAATTAGCTCATGTTCATTTCATCAGTTCTCTTTGCTGTTCAGCCTCCTAGGCATTATTAGGGAACTGAAGGATAAGTCTGGGATACTGGCCCTAGGATTTTCATTTTCAGTCTTCTGAAACTCTGATGACTTTGGGGGTCCATCAACCTGAAAATACTCAAGTCATCCCTGGGCCTTACAGCCCAACTCCTGTGCCCCAATTAAGTGCTTAAGAAGTGATGCACTTATAGATCACAAAAAATGATGTTACTCTGGCACTGAACCTCTGTCAGCGCAAAGGTCTGGAACTGAGAGGGCACCAGTCACAATTCACTGTCTACGCAATGACTGCACATGTAGCATTACATCAAATGGAGCTTCCAAAGAACACATTCGAAACGTCTAATCTTTGTAAGGAAAGGAAACAGCTTTTCCACTGAATTTTTCTCTCTCTCTCCTGCAACCTGTTCTTCATTTAGGAGACACAAGTGGGTTTTAGTTATAAGTTACTGTCCAGTGTTATCTTCTGGTCCTGCAGAAGAGCCTTTCTCTGTACTGGATGCAAAAACTGTTCACTTGAGCAGATCACCCTCAAAAACACAGGAAAGGAGTTCTTTTAAAAAAACACAACTCATAGAGTTTATTGCTTTCAATTTATAAAATTAAGCCTGCTCCAGACAGGTAATAGTGGTGGGGTATGTTCGTAATCCCCGGTTTTCATTAAAAAGTGTGCCCTGACACACAATGCTTCCTCAATCTGTCATGCCAGGTTCCTTCCTTCTAATACTTCACAACCAGAATCCGATGTGGTGCTCATTAGAACACTGAGGTACTTCTCATTTAACTCTGCAGAGCCCAGCACACGGTAAGTTGCCACAACATCCTTCATCACATTGCCTGTTGACAAAAGGAATAATTACTAGTCATCATGGGACATGTTTTTCATTTTTTTAAATAAAAAAAGATACATCTAGCTTAACATTCAACCTTTCACCATGCTCTTAATAACTTAGAAAGTTCAATAACTGTATTTGGTTTGTGATATTTAATAGCAGATTTTTAGCAACTGGTCAGGATTGCTACAGAGTTTCCTCCCCCTCCCCCTTCAGTCACATTTCTAAAATGTTGGCTTAGATACTTCCCAAAACACTGTGTTTCTTATATGCTGGCTAAGTAAGACAATTAAAGCACAGATGGGAGAAGTTCCTTCTTTAGTATTGTGGCCAATAGTCATACTGGCCTGAGAGTCTTGGGAGCTCTAGACTAAAAAAGTAACTCTTCCAATCTCTTGTTAAACCTATATTGTTATAAAGACCAAAGCAATGTTTCATTAATAAAACTTGCGAATTCATTTCTTATCATTGTTCTTATTAACCATCATGACCATGGCATAACATATTAATGCTCACCTGAGCCCCTCATTGTAATGCATATGTAGTATAACATTATTTTGACTTATCAGTAGAATGAAAACATGAATATAAACACATTTAACACCAAACTAAAGCATTCATTGTGCATTTTATATGCCTTCAAAACTGGTGAGGATGCATGTCGTAATGAAATTGTGTGTGAAATGCACAATCAATCTTGAATATTCATTAATTAGTTAGTTGTTATGGATATAGTACTTTAAGCCATTTAAGAAATGTCCACATTGAGGGTCCTAATGTATTGATGCACCACACTGAAGCCTGATAAACTATATGTTTCATGACAGAATTCACACTGGTCCATTGGAACTCTATGCCTATAGAATCATGGAAGGCGTCAAGGCTAGTGGAAAGATACCAAACCTTTTATTCACCATGGCTTCTGCCAGGCACAGCTACCCATGCTGAAGTTTTATATTAAAACACCATGGCAGAAACACTGGAAGGTTATGCAGTCAAATATTTTGGATAACAACTGCCCCAGCTGAAAACGTTAGCCAAAGCTATCTTGAATCTATATTTCAGGTCAAGTGATGAAGGCTGCCATGCTGTTTATTCTATACACTGTGGGGTCTGTAGGAGCTAGTTTTTATCTAGAACACCTCAACATGCATACAAGGCCCTGCAATAGCAAGGGCTTACATGGATATTTCCATATGCAAGATACCCCCATGGACCCCTATAATCCAAATGGGCAAATCATCTAAATAATGCCTCTGCTTAAACCAAGGCACAGAAATAAAATCCACTTCATGCAATATATTCTAGATAAGTATGTGATTTGAGTGGTGGAATAGATAATGCAAAACTGAGGCTGGTTCCTATACAACACAGACAAGTTTCTATTGCATGGAAATTTGCCAGCTAGATATATAGATATATAAATACATGTGAATGCATTCTTTTAAATGAGTAGAAAATGTATCAATTTATTTTTATGCCCATCTCAAATGCTCAAAAAAATATATCAAATCTAATACACTAAGACTGTGATGTTCTTCTTGATGCAAACTGAGAGAAAAGGAAATATAATTCGTTGAATTGCCACAAGTGATTTTGTAAGCTACTACTGGTATCTCTTTCACGGATGCCCTGTGTATTCTGAAGCCCAAGGTGCTCTGCAATGGCATCAGTTACAGAAATATTATTGAAGGCATCATGAAAACAATTTCCAGAATAGCTGATATTTATAGGAAACTGAAATAAAGTCAATTACCATTCATATATTTTCTCAATTTAGAAATGCCCGTATTTGAGTTGCACACTAGAAAAAAAATTCAAAACATTACCAGATTAGATTTGTATTTTAGTAGATGAAGAAAGACACAAGGATGTGTTTCTGGGTAGCTAAAATCAGGCATGAGATTAGTATTCTTTCTAATTCAATCAATTAAATATGTAACATTTGGAGCTACAATATGTTTCATAAACAAGGGAAAAGAATGACAATTGTAAAAGAGTGGCATCAAATCACAGTGGAGTAGCACTGAATTCTAAAGAGAAGACTAAGTGATAAACTGTCCATTTCTTTATTCTGTCTTTTTAGATGTCATGAGGGCTTGTGTGAGTTATACTTTAAACAAAGAGTATACAGTACTAATAAATCAGTGATCCCTCTGAAGGGAGTATCCTTCTCCCTGACATGCCAAGTATGCAGCACTGTTTTTCTTACGTGGAGCATCATACATTGATGTGAGTCCTTGCTGTGATCTGAACTCTCAGGATACAGGTTTACCACTTCAACTGCAGTGCCCTAAGTAATAACCTGTTGCTGTGGGTTGTACTGTTTTCAAGCCACCACTGTAATATTTAAAGACCCACTGTTGTGGTATGTTGTGATGCCGTGGCACAAGGCAGCAGCTAGATAGCCTAGATGGTTCAGCACCTAGAAGAATGCCTGATGAGTTACAAATCTATGTTTCATCTCAGAATGCAATTTAAAAGTATTAAAATGACCATCAAAGCATACTTAGAGAAACAAGTAAATAGCAAATAAATAGCAAGAACACAATATGATGCTATACGAAACTTGGAGGTATTAATGTTCACATTTCCTTTTAGTCCCACACTTGCTTACACAAATGCATCTACTTTGTTTCAGGCATTATGGCTTGTCTAGTTACAAAAGCAGGTTAATGTATTTGGCAATTACAAAGATTTTATAAGCCATTTTATGTGCAGTCTAACAGGCTACAATATTTCATTTGCAGAGTAAAAACAGTCCAAGAAGCATTTCACAGGAGTTCTGCAAGACTGGGGGAAGGATAAACGCAAAGTGAACAATTCCCCAAGAAAGTTTAAACTATCTGAAACCTAATCCAAAGAATATGTTTAAACAAACACCAATCTGAAGAAATTTAAGGTCTATTTAAGAAACCATGCATTAAGACACTGATGAGCACTGCTGCACAGCACATTACAATATTCCTAGCTAATTTCCTGTTCAGAAAAATTGCTCCATAATGACAGCTTATGGTCTTGCCTGACTAAATAAATCTAGCTCTAGAATGCTTGTGTCAGCCCCTTGTTATTTCTGCATATTTTTGTATGTATGCAACTGTTTCTTTCAATGGTGAGCATGGCTATTAATATAGCCTCCCTTCTTTCTGACAAAGTTATAGATCTACTATAGGTCTCCCTTGTGGCATCACTGCTGGAGACAACTGGTCCACTCAGCCCTCTGGTTCAATGCCAGAGCCTCAGTGCACAGAGCAACTGCTTCTTCTTTTCGTCCCCTCCCCCCGCCCCAGTTGTTTCTGTTTGGGTTTTGAGGGAGTACATTTACAATTAACAAGAACACAAGAATAGCGCTGCTAGATCAAACTGAAAGTCCATCTAGTCCAGTATTTGGTTGCATTGTCTACAAGCTTGTAGACAATGCAAGGTCACATATCTAAATGGTGGTGGAAGGCACCCTCTTTGCTTGATTCACAAAGCAACCATGTAATTGGGAGGCACAAATAAGACATGCCCTCAACGGAGTTATTTGTGTTCCCTAGCAGTGAGTACTGTGGGCATACAGACTCTTGACATTGGAGATAATCCATAGTTATTGAAGGAAGGAGCTGCTAAAACCTACTGGGGACAGCACCTGAAAATTTCTTCTCTATTTTCAGGAACATTCAATCTGATTAGCTGGTGCTTGGCATAAAGAAAAAGGAATGGACATTACTATCATATTCTGCTTCTGAACTTGCCCTTGGTTTTAAAAAGGTCAGGTTAACTGAACTACTGATGTGATGTTAAATGGCAGTTCTTATGCAAACAATGAACTCCACCAAGAGGTCCGAGTACTGCCAGAAGATGGGCAAAACAGGCTATCCATCACATAGTTATTATATGCCATCAAGTCAGGACTGACTTATAGTGATCCCGATACGGTTTTCAAGGTAAGTGATTTAAGGAGTAGTTTTACCAGGAAATTGAACCCAGGCATCCTGAGTCCTAGCTCATTGCTCTGTCCACTACACCACACTTGGTACCCTGCCCATGATGTTACTGATACTGTATTACCGTCTGAGTATGCTTGCTGCTTTTAAATATATTAATTACATATATTTTGAGCACACTATATTTCAAGACATGTCTAAACACATTTCCCCTAAAATATGAATTAAAAGCCTATTTCATTACTTTGTATTTATGCAGTTTGATACCATGGTAACTGCCGTGGCTGCATCCTGTGAAACCCTGGGATTTGCAGTTTGGTGAGTTTACAGCTGCTGCTTAGAGAGCTCCAGAGCACTTGCTACAGCTAAAGCAGATTATTCTGAATACTTCCCCAAACTTCAGCTCTCAGAATTTCCTGGGCTTCTTAGGCTATACTTGATCTTTTCTGATCTATGCTGACCTTTCAACCTAGACTGATATTCTTAGAGTTACTGGTGTCACTTCTTCTTTCTCGCACTCCCTTCCTGATCATCTCTGGGAGAAAACAGAGGAAATCGCTCTGCATCTCATCTCTATTTAGGTAAAACTACAGTAGGATGCTTATTATATTTCCATTTCCATGAAATCTCTAATGAACATTAATTTTCTTGTTGTCTTAAACATTTGGATGTGATTTATTTCCAAAGGGGAAAGCATGTTTTGCTAACCATTCTACAAGTTCACTTAGCTGCTGCTTGCTCTGCTAAAAAGCAGCACTTCATTTCTTATATAATTATTAGAAATAAAATGAGGATTTCCACAATGTGTATATTACCTGTGTACAGTCATAATCAACAGAAAGTTGCAACTTCAGAATATGGAATCTCAAAAATAGAACTCAAGAAGAGAATTATTGCTTCTTCTAAAATCCTACTATCATATCTATTGCCTGACAATCAACTGAAATTTATCCAAAGCTGTCAGTCCACCAGCCTGGGGTGATCTTAATGTTTGACTCTTGAACTGAACTCTATGGCAATCGAAGACATGGCTCTTCAGAGAATAGGCTTTCCATGCCAACTCTAGTTGAGCTGA